ATAGATTAGACCTGTGAATGCTGGAAGTTAAACAGTGACACATGTCTCTCTACCTTTCCAGTGAGGAAGAGTAAGCAGCCAACTGCAGAAGCTGGTGCTCCCTCACAGTCTGGGTCAGCCACTGGGGTTCCAGGAAAGCCTGCACATGTCCGCAGACAGTCTGAGGCTTGGGATCTGCATTCTTTTTTAACCTCCTAGAACTGCCCTTTTAGTTGGCAGTTTCTGTTCAATTGTTCTTTTGCTAGGATCCCGAAGTAGAACAAACTCAGGCGAGGGAGGCTGAAGAGAAATTAACCTCTCTCCCCCACCTCTGTCTCTGTGTCTCTTCTCTGTCTCTCTCTGTGTCTCTCTGTCTCTCTCTCTGTGTGTCTCTCTGTCTCTCTCTGTCTCTGTCTCTCTGTCTCTGTCTCTCTGTCTCTCTGTCTCTCTCTCTGTGTCTCTCTGTCTCTCTGTCTCTCTCTGTGTCTCTCTGTCTCTCTGTCTGTCTCTCTCTCTCTCTCTCTCTCTCTCTCTCTCTCTCTCTCTCTCTCTCTCTCTCTCTCTCACACACACACACACACACACCTCTGAGTCTCTCAGATTTTTATTTTTCTTCAAGGGCTGCAGTCCCTCCCAAGGAGGGGACTGGCCAGCAAATCTTCCAAGGAAACAGTTCTGTCAGGTCCCTCTGAGTGTGCATAAGCTCAGTCAGAGAGAGGAGAGAGGGAAAGCCAGAGGGAGAGGGGGAGAGGGGATCTGTTGCAGGCAGGGGAAGGCGTGACCTGAATGGAGAATGCCAGCCAATTCCAGAGACACACAGGGACCTCAGAACAAAGATAAGACATCGCTGACACCACACCGGGGACGGGGACGAGCTCACAGACAAGTCTGGCAGACGGGACCAAGGCCAGGAGCACACAAGGCAGGAAAATGAGGTGAGTGCCAGGTCAGGGGAAGGCACCGGGTTCCCTCTCCAAGACCAAGTGTAGAACAGCCCCTGGGTCTGACCTTGTCTCTAGCAGACTCACCTGCTTGCCCTCTGTGTGGCTGGGGACCGGGCATTCTCATCAATCCTCAGGGTCCTGCAAAAGGGAGCCTTGTCCCTGGGGCACCTTCCCAGAGACTCCGGACTCCGGAGACGCGCAACTTGAAACCAGAGAGTTTGTACAAAGCCTGTTCCTGGCGCAGTGGAGGCTCACATTTCTCCCTCTGCCAGCACAGGGTGCTGCCTACTGGCCAATGTGATCCTCCTCCTCTTGCCCACAAGGCTGATTCTTCATTTTCCTACTCAGCAAAGAGCAGTGATTTCTTTCTCGCAACACTTTGAGAGTTAGATAATGTGTTTGTGTGTTTATTTCTTCTAAACGGGAAAGAAACCAGTTCCCCACAGCCCAGCTCATGGTTTCTCGAGCCTTCAGAAGTTTGCCAGTTAAACCTCAATTTAGAAAACTAAAAACCTGTCCCCATTTTACAGTTCCCTATAAATTCTGCATTTCTCACTGAAATCAGAGGCAGCTGGTGACATGGATCAGGCTATGAAATGCACCAAATGGCTCTTAAAGAGACACCACAGTTTTTTAAAGGGGCGTTTGGAATTCTGAAACCTATCACTTTAAATTCTAAAGGCTTCTTGAAGCTCTTCAACCTTTCTTGTTTCTTGTTGTGTTGCTTGAGGCTCCTCACTAGGCATTTCTTATGAGCTTTCCCAGAGTCTGAAACCCCAACTATCCTAATTAATTTTTATCACTATCAAGGCTGCTAGCAACACTCAAAGGGAACAAGAAAAACACCCCGTTGATGCATTAAGTCCCCACATGCCTATTTCCCCATTCATTTTCCCTTTAAATTGGGATTTTCTGTTTGTTTCTCTTCTTCACTCGCCTAGTAACTTTGCTGACTGAGTCCAGGGCCAGAAAGGATCTTCAATATCTGTAACTTTGAATTCCAGGTACCTATGGCCCAGGAAGACAAATCTCTAAAAGTTAATTTCATCATCCTGATCTTCGAAAGTCTTTTTTTTTTTAACCTGCCAGAAAATTTCATTTTCCTTTCTTCTAAAACAATGGCTTTTCTTCCTTTGTGTACTGAATAACAATCTGTTCTACCTGTGTCTCCGCCATTCCAAAGCATGCCCTTGCATATGGTTAACCGTTGATTTAGAACAACCCTCCCACTCATTTCCTACCTAGAATAGACTGGGCAGGCTCAGCATTGCTTCTTCATTCCTACTCTCCAGCCCCCAGACATGGCACCTCTTCCTTTGTTCTCTCCTGTGACTGTATTTCTTATCATCTTTAAATGGCGGCTTATTTAAATGTCCACTTCCCCTTCCAAGAGATGCAATCAATGTCTTCCTCTTTGTAGAATGTCTGCATGTTCGTGTTATGAATAACATACATTATGTTCGGTGACCAGCACCGAACATAATGTCTCTTTCCAGTAGAAATACAATAAATATGACTGAGCTGAACTCAATTACTGAATATCAAAAAGAAGTTCTAGGGACTCGTTCCACAAGCTGTCTCTGAATGGGTTGGACTCACAAGCATACAGCACTTCAGAGTTTGCAAGACACTTTGATGAGCATCGTCAACTCTTGGCTTCAGATTTTGTGTGACGTAAGGATTAATAAACACATGAGATAAAAGCAGTTAAGCAACTTGCCCAGAGCCACACTGATGAACTTGAAAGGGCCTAGACTCAGTCTTGTGTCTTTGCACTCCAAGAATTTTCCTGCTATACTCTGCTAGGCTCTCAATCCCAGCTACAGATTACAGTGATCTCTGGTACTTAAGGAATGCCAGTCCCCAGGCAATAGAACAGAATTTCATGCACAGGGGGTGGGGTGGGGGCTGTTCAAACATTAGTATTTTTTTTTAATTTCCACATAAAGCTATGGGTTTTTAAAATTATTTTTCACAGGATTAATTGCTTTGGCCTGATGCCTGGGCATGATACGGGCATGGACCCAACTTCTTCTGTGAGCTTTTGTTATTCTTTTCTGCTGTTGAAGTTAATTCACCATATGGTATTTGGCATGATGTGCCATCTCTTAGGGTATACTTTTCATCGTCTGTCAAGTGAGGGTGGTGGGTAAGGGATTCTTCCAACTCTGAATCTTAAAAATGGAGTGTTGGTGGTGTGTACACTGAAAAGAGGGGAGTGAATGGAAGCGCTAGGAAGTGCCATTCATCCCACAGCCTGGCATATGCAGCCTCTTTATGCATCCCTGATAGCCTGCTCTCCCCACAGAGACTATGAAATCCTAGTTCTCTGTATCACTTTTGACATTTCAAGCAAATGTAGCTCAACTTTTTGATCAACTGGAGGACAGATAACAGGTGTCAGGAATTGTACAGCCGGTGCCTGGTGCCTACGAAGCCAAAACATGGGTGTGATGAGAAATGAAAGCTGCCACGTACATCCTTTGAATCACAGCCCCTAAGTCAGGCAAGCAAGCATATGCTTCAGCCTTGTACATGGATGGAGATAACTGCTTCGTGTGTCTATGTCTGTCTTGAGATGTAAAGAACAGAACACCCCACGGTCCTTTCATGCACACTCACCAGCTGCCTGCCACACACAGCACTGGGGCCTGGGCTAAGGGGTCATTCAACTGCCAGCCTCAGCAGAACTGGCCTGAGGAGCTTTCTCCTCTGGGTGTTCTGGAAAAAGCAGACATGGACAAAAGCAACCTTCCAGCCTTGTGTAATCCAGTTGTCACTATTGCAGGGAAGTCAGGCTTGGGAGTCAAAGTTTCCACTTTCAGGAAATGGAATGATGATGGATCATCAGAGCAAGCCTTCACCTAGGGCTGGATACTTAGGGCTCTTTCCAGTGCCCATGTGCAGAGCAGCCCCATGGGAAGTCATTACTATGATCCTACAAGAAGAATTAAATGGAGAACTCCCACCACTTCCCTAGAATGGGTAGGAGAAGTAAAGTCAGGGCGTGGAGTTGAGTCTGTTCTTCTGGGCACAGTTGAACCTGCACTCTCAGCCCTGGTAACAAAAGGTGTCGACAACTAGCTTGTAATTCCAGACCTGGGAAAGCAAAGATGGGAGGATCCATGAGTCCCATTGACTAGCCAGTGTAACCTAGTTAGCAAGCCCCAGGTCCCAATGAGAGAGCTATCTACAAAAGCAACATGGATGGCTCCTGAGGAACAGTGCCTGAAGTTTATGACTGGCCTCCTCATTCATGCACACACACACACATGCATACACACACGTACGCATGTACACACACGCATGCAGGCAAACAAAAAATATTAGAAATGAGCACAGGAACCTGTTAGGAGAGTTGCTAAGGACTCATGCCTGAGATGTTTGAGTTCAAGGTCCTTGGATCTTGCTGGGAAAGTGCTATGCTGTGACCTGACCATTAGGACTATGACCAGCCTTAGTTACCCTGCCTTGGTATTGCATCATCCACATTTGATACTGCGTTTGCAACTCTCTTAGCATTCCATTACTTTTTATTTCTCTAGAAATGGATAATAAACTATGATTCTTACAGAATATTCACCAAGACGTGCTTTGTTAATTCTATCTTTATCAAGATTTTTCTATACGTTGACTGGTACATAGAAAGCAATCTCTTTCAGAATGTCATTTGTGTTCAATATCTGTAGATTCCTCTACTGGGTTTGGGTTTTATTTGTAATATTAGTAATGATTACGATTACTTATATTTTAAAACTGCATAATTTATGGTTCCTAAGTTAGGTGCAATTGAAGAAGTAATATCAATTATCACCTGATTTTAATAGTTATGCTTCCAAGAGTAAGAGAACATGGGTCAGGATCCCAAATGTGCTACTTTACAGAAAACTTCAGTATGCATATCACATTGTCAAAAGACCAAAGCTAAAAGCAATCTTAGAAATCACCTAGTTACTTTCTCCAAACATCCTGCAGACTGGGTGAACAAGGCTCCTGGGAGAAAAGGCCCCTAGTGAGAGCAGGTATTTAGCTCAGTGTTGGGGAGCTGCAGTCATCGATGTAAGCAAAACTTCTTTCATGTCTTTCAGGTTGCTCCTTCTCTACCATGCTCTGTGCCTAGCCCTGTTGGAGGTTTCAGCCCATACTGTGGAGCTAAATGAAATGTTTGGCCAGATACAGTCCCCTGGCTATCCAGATTCCTATCCAAGTGACTCTGAGGTGACTTGGAATATTACTGTCCCAGAGGGGTTTCGGATCAAGCTTTACTTCATGCACTTCAACTTGGAATCCTCCTATCTTTGTGAATATGACTACGTGAAGGTGAGACCTCCAGTGTTCTCTAACTGGGCATAGATTAGGTACCATTCTTACCTTCATGGGGATGCATCTATTGAGGGAGGAGACGGTGCAATGAAAGACGGAATGGGAGCGGTATGCCAAGTCAAGTCTATGAGAGTTGGTGGTAGGATTCGGTATTTGGCTAGACACATTTTCCCCCTACTCTATTCTCATTTCCTGTAACACATCCAGTAGCATCTGCTCCAAAATCCCATTAAAGGGTATTGACCCAAGAATAAGCAGTAATCACTGGGAATCGCCATTATGTTTGACACTGAGATATTAGAAAGCACGGCCAAATTCATTATATAACGGTCAAATGTTTAGGATTGTAGGCTGTGCAGCAGTCAAAAGTAAGAGGTACCATTTGGGTGAAAGGTTGGTGAGTGGTAACTGAGGGCCTTGAATACCATGTCAAAAGTTTATATTTTATTAGTCAAGTACATGACCAGGGAAGGAAAGTGATTATTAATGGAAAATATTAAAAATGTATAGGGCGAACAGGATAGTGTCAACATATACAGACCATATTCCCTGGAATTGCCATGGGTGGAAAGTTCTGGTTTTAAAGTGGGGCCAAACTGGGCATGCATGTCTGCAACTCCAGGACTTAGAGGCTAGGGACAGGACAATGGTGGATTCACGGCTAGCCTTTGAACAAACTCGGGTTGTGTCTTCAAAATATAAAACAAAAATTTAATAATAATAATGTGAGTCCAAATGGTTTAAATTACTCTAAGACAACAAGTTTATTCAGGTTGTGCCTACTTCAAAAAGTTTTGAAAACTGAAAAAAAATTCTTTTTTAATATATTTATTTATTCATTTATTTATTTTTATGTATATGAGCATTTTGCTGGCATGTGTGCAGTGCCCATAAAGGCCAAAAGAGAGCACTGGATTCTCTAAAACAAGTGTAGACTTTTTTTTCCCCTCTTTTGGGGGACCCTCATCCAGCTTCCAAATAATACACAGAGACTTATTCTTCCTTATGAATGCCCGGCCTTAGCTTGGCTTGTTTCTAGCCAGCTTTTCCCATTTATCTTTAACTACATTTTGCCTCTATGCTTTTTACTTTTCTTTATTCTATATATCTTTCTTCCCTTCTTACTCTGTGTCTGACTATGTGGCTGAGTAGCTAGCCCCCGGCATCCTTTTCTCCTTCTCCTTTTCTTACTCCTCTCCTTTTCCCCTAGATTTCTCCTCCTACTTTTTCTCTCTGCATGGCATCCCAACCTATCCTTTCTCCTGTCTTGCTATTGGCTGTTTAGGTCCTTATTAGACCAATCAGGTGTTTTGGACAGGCAAAGTAGCACAACTTCACAGGGTTAAACAAATGCAACATAAAAGAATGCAGCATATTCTTGTATCATTAAATATTCCACAGCATTTACGAACGTGACACATCTTAAACTAATATTCCACAACAAACTACAGTTACAGGTGGTTGTGAACCACTGTGTGGGAGCTGGTCCCAGGTTGTCTGGAAGAGCAGTCAGTGCTCTTCACCACTGAGCCTTTTCTCCAGCCCCATGAAGCACCTACAAAGTTCTCCCTGACTTCCTAGGAAAGGTTCACACCAAGTAACTCTTGAGTCAACTTTCTGCATTGTAGCCACTAGTCTATTCTTATTTCTCTACAGCTTGTCACTCAGCAGCACTAAAGCTTGTATTAACCAGAATGTTTGAGCAGCAGTGAAGCAGTGAATTTACAAGGACCCTTTATACTTATCATCTCATTCAAACTTCATCAAAGTTTTGTGAGACATGAACTCCTATCCTATTTCACAGCAAAACAAACCCAGAAAGGTTAGGTGACTCCAGGTAATCCATCTGGAAGATGGCAGATCAGGATTCCAACCCATGTCATGAGAATTTGAACCCCATGCTTGTTTGGCCACACTGAACAGCTCACAAGCTGTGTTCCCCTGAGTCCCAGCGAGCAAAACATTACAAGAGGAACAGGAAACGCTAAGCAGAGCTGTGGGCCCCTTCTCTGTCTTGGCTCATTTTATATGTAGAGCATTACTGTAGCATCAAGGTCCACATGGTATCCTTTGTCAGGGTTCTCAATCTCAGCACTATTGACATCAGGAGCCAGGTAATTCAATGGTGAAGAAGGAGGTCTGCAGCGCTGAATGATGTTTTTTTTTTTTTTTTTTTTTTTTTTTTTTGGCAAATTCTCTGGCCTCTGTTTGTTACATGTCAGTGGCTGTTCTACCAGGTTGTCATAACCAACAATGTCTACAGATGTTGACACTATCTCAGTACCATTGCTGTATGGGATATTGCCATTATCTGAATGCCCCCATGCTATGGACAATAGGACAGTTTCATGCAAAATATCCAACTCCCAAGAGCAAAAATAAGCCTAAAGAACATGAGTTCTTGACACTTCAAAGCGTAATTGTGACAACTTGCAGAAAGAACTGCTGACCTGACATTCTTGTGAATTAGACACATCTGCCCAGTTCCTGTTTGGAAAGGGATTCATATGGGGAGAGAGTTTACATGATTGACTCTCTAGAACATCCTCCTAGCATCAGCATCAGCTCCCTACAGAGGTTCTGGCAGCCATGAGCCAGGAACAGGCCTCCCACATCTGCTGGCAGCTGGCGCTTACAGAGATGAAGTTCTGTGTGCTTGTCCACACATGTGTAAAAGAGTTTCCCTCCAAGATTTAAGAACTCATAAAAGTTAAGCTTCAGGACCTGTAGAGGTCCACACAGTTCCATTTTACAGGGTTATGCTAAATGTTACTGTGGCTTCAGTATTTTCCCAGTGATGAACACATTCTTGTAACTCTTCAGTTTGGTCCAATACAGAAAAAGACAGATGTGGAACTGTTTGGGTCTAGGTGAACCTTAAAGTTCCTCTCATCTTGCTCATTGCCCTTGATCATCCTACAGCACTTTGAGGCCCAATACTTATATTTGTAGCTCCAGTCAAGTTCTCATTGGCTGGAATTGAATTCTGAAGGTCAGAACTCAAGGGGAAATCTGACAATCTGCCTCTGAACTCACAAATCCAGAAGTCTCACACAGAGTTGAACCTGCACTCCTTTCCTAGGTGCTTTCCCACTTCCAAGCCCCAGGATAGCTACTAGGTTTTACTTTTAATGAGAATCTCTTCTCTTTCAATCTGAATACAAGCACAAACATGTCACGTGGCGCCAGGATAAGTCAACACCACTCTCCCAAATTCTATTTGTTCATCTGTTCAGTGAGGAATTGCATCACTTTCCCTGGGGAAACATGAACAAATGTCTAGTCTCCCTGCTGGGAACCCACAACTGACCAGAGAAATGATCCTACCAAAGTCCAAGGTGAACCAGTGAGTTCATTGGGGTCACTTGCAGTTGGATGGAGAAGGGATTACTCACAATGGCTCAAAGGCAGCTATACCACCAAAAACCACCTCAGTCTTGGTGACAAGTCATGAAAAAGTCACATCCTGCGGCTCTGTATGACATGCAGATTGTTGGAGACAAGCTGGACTCTTATGGGTAGCTCAGAAGGTGAGAGATTCCCTTCTACCTTCTACCTAACAAGGCCTAGTGAATCTTGTCAGTTTCAGTAACTTCCTGAACCTTGTACAGTTTCTTGAATCTCAAGGAGTCTTCTCCAGGAGAGAATTTTGCAGCATGGAGGAAATTGATGGAACAAAAAGTGGGATGAGATGACCCCTAAAGTACCTTAAATTCTGGGCCTCTCTTTGCAATCTTACTTGCCAGAATTTTCCAGATGACCCCTCGAAGTCTTCATGATCCTACTTATCCAATTCCCAAAGTTCTCAGAGTCATTAGCACTCTAAGTAGAGCCTACACTCTTCAGGGGGATGCTTTAGTGACACACTATTTGAGTCAAACTTGTAAACATAGCTCACCACCACTGTTCTTTACCAAGTAACTTAAACTATCATCAGTTTCCTTTGGCAGGATAACATCCTGGACTATTTTTAGGCTTCTTTTGCTCCACAGCTAAATTTTCCTTGCAGCCAAGGGGTAGGTTTAAAGGACCACCCAACTCACAGGAACCCTTTCCAGTCCAACCCACATCAGCGATCCTCCCTTCTCACTCATGCCCATCAGGGTGACCATGAGGGAACCGCTGACACTGAATATCACCAGCCCAAAGGAAAGCAGGACCTCAAAGCTGTAGACCGGATGCTCACATTAATGGGAATTCCCCTCCAGCCTGCTTTCCCGCAGTCTTCGGTCTTCAAGCCACATCTGCACAGCAGCATCTGCTGTGGAGTCCTGCGGTGCACAGATGAAGAGTATGCACCACAGCTGTTGGTTGCTGGGGACCAAGGGCCCAGCACAGAAGCTAGGCACTGGGCTTGGAAGCCTCAGCTCTGCTGATCATTCTACACTACTATGTTAGCCTTAGGCAAGTGGCTTCTTCTAGAAGGAATCACTCCTTGTCCATCCTCCCTTCCCCTGTCGAACATGGAGTTGATTTACATGGTCTATAAGGTACATCTGTGCTCAATAGTCAATGACCTTAGATATCAAGGTCTAAATCCATCATCATCATGTCAAAAGATTGGGGAAGAAGAATTCATTAGCCCATGTCATGCCAGAGCAAAATTTATATCTGAAGATAGTCAGGAGTGGTGGTACACACCTTTGTTCCTACCATTCAGGAAGCAGGAACCAGTGGATCTCTGTGAGTTTGAAGCCAACCTTGTTTATTAGGTTCTAGGCTAGTCAAGATTTGACAGAGAGACCCTATTTTTTTAAGCCTATCTTTTCTTCTTTTAATTAATTAAGCTATAGGAGAGTCCCCATCTTCTGAATGCCTAGGTTTTAGGTTGCAATGTGTAGCAAATGTTGCCTGTAGTCAAATTGTTAAAACTCTCTTAGAGTTGAATTCTATTATATAGCCAGAAAATACAAGATTTTCCCCAGAAAATGCAACAAATTATGTTTGACTGAGCTTCAGATCAAATGACTGACACATAAAAGGGTCCTGAGGTGAGA